ATAATTTGTTTATCAGCTCTTAGTTAGTCTACCAGTGATTAGTTAGCTTATTAACTATCAGCTAGTTTATCAGTTATTATATAATTTATCTACTAGTTTATCAAACGTAGTCTAAATAAACATTTTTAAAACTATAAACACTTAACTTTTTAAATACATTTTCCAAAATAATAATTAAATGCATATATGTTATTTCATATAATTTCGACATTTTGAAATATTTTGAGTAAAAAATAAAATAATAATTAAGATGAAATAAAGAAAGCAAATGTAAACCACCTCCCAACTGCTCCACACTCCATCTGACCTCGATGCTGGCTTCTGGCTCCACATGATATTTCCTGAATTTTTAAATAAATATTATAATCATATGATATCGAAAGTATATCAAAATATATGTTAAATTAAAGATAATAATATGAATATTTTTTGATGTAATTTGTTTTATTCTTGTTTTTTTTTTTTTTGTATTTTACTGATTTTTTATTTAAAAGTTAAGAGAAGATACTTATGATCTTTTGGATTGGTTATTTAAAATAACTTATATTTTTTTATAAAAACACTTATCAATTTATTAGAGGTTAGAAATGTTTAACTTATTAAAAAACTTTTTATTACCGATTTGACACCAGTATAAGTTGTTTATCCAAACACTCAAAAGTGTTTATTGTCGGTGTCACACCGGAATAAGTCAATAAGTTGTTTTTATAAGCAATCCCAAACGCCCCTTAATCTCTCTCTCTCACACACACACACACATATAGGGTCCAATCAAGGGAAAACTCGATTGTTTGTGATAACTGTGAGATTCAACCTCAACCACACATTATTAATAATCAATGGTTATTATTAAACATATTAATTTTGGTAACTATTCATTAATTTTGATAATTATTCATTAATTTTCAAATAATTTAAATTTACTGATAATATATAGAAGTAAATTAGTATTTTTTTTAAATCTCTCTACTCTCTCTCTCTCCGACCAAGAATTTTTAACACTAAAACACAAAATAAATATGATACACGTTGTGATACCCAATAATTTATAACATTAAGACACAAAACCAATTGTGTTACACATTGTGATACCACTGTGATAACGTTTTGAAACCACTGTGGTAACATTTTGATACATGGGTTGACAATAGATGTGATCTGAGTCTTAGGCTACACACAACCACAATGTGATACAATTTTGTTGAGATAATTAAGGAAACTGAATTTTTGATAATTAAGGAAACTAAATTTGATAACTATTAAATAAGAAAAATATTTAAATTATAATTAATCATTTTACTAAAACACCTTTACCTATTAATTAAGGTAATACAATTAATATCATAAAATGATTGGCTCATCTTGGACCTCACGATTACCACAAACTAATTAGTTCTTATTTGATTAGTTCCCTATATATATATACTAGAAGCGTACTCGCGCAATGCAGCGAGATACATCGTGTTTTTAATATTTAATTTTATTCTTTATCTCAGTCGATGTTATAATATGGCTTTATGTGATTTTGAGAAAACGATGATGTTTTTATTTTTGAATAAAATATATGTTTGACGAT